GTATTTGAAGCTTCCATCAAAGGAATGGGTGAGACCCTGTAAACAGGGTGTATGGGCCTCTACTATGGGGAGCGGTCAGTTTGGTAGGTCATCTCACTGGGATTGAAATGAGCCATCTTGGAGCAGGAATGAGGAGCAGAGTGGAGTGCCATCTCTGGACCCTGCGTGCTGAACCTCCTCAACCGAGGAGACAGAGCCGTGCCTGCAGAGGAGCAGCAAGAAGAGTGGCACAGGACTCACGGAAGTATGACCAAGAGCACACGACCGCGGCACGGCCCAGCCCATGGGACAAGTGCAGCTGAGTGCCCTTGGTCAGGAGGCCCCCTTGTGGAATGGATTGTCTGCAGGACTTAATCAATTGAGAACCAGCTTTGCCACCCGTGGAGCTAGAGCTGAGCAACTTTGGAATAAGGCACATGTCAGAGTAGCATGCCCTTCGGGTATTTTATCGGGAGTTTTGTAACACTACCAGATTAGGACAGAGACCTACAACCAGAGAGACATGTGCCTGCCGGCATGATTAAGAAGCAGTGCCCCTGCCCAGAACTGGATCTGCCCTGCTAAGTTCTCTAGTGAGCCCTGGTGGCGTAGTGGTTATGTGTTGGGCTGCTAACCAAAAGGTCAGCAGTTCAAAACCGCTAGCTGCTTTGTGGGAGGAAGAGGGCACTTTCTGTTCCCACTAAGAGTTAGTCTCAGAAACTCAAAAGGATGATGCCACCCTGTCCTACAGGGTCTCTTTGAGTCAGAATCAACTCAATGGCAGTGTGCTTGAGTATGGTATTTTGTTGTTGCTGTTTAACTTCTCACTAAGCTTCCCAAACGAGAATCTGGTCTATGAGTCTGATGTGGCCATTGCAATGAGTTACCGAACCCAGCCGAGAAGTAGGACTGTGGGCGGAGTGGCTGGTGTCAGAGTTGGTGAAGAAGGTGAGAGAGTGGAGGCCTGTCCGACCTTCACCTCAGAGGAATTAGCCTTGGGCTGATATTGAGTCTCATCCTCCTCCCTTTTTGTAAAGTCCAAAAACCAACCCAAACTCACTGCCCTCAAGTCAATGTTGAAACCCGGTGGGTGTCCCAGACGGTAACTGTTTACGGGAGTAGAAAGTCCAGTCTTTCTCCCTGGCACTGCGGGTGGTTTTGAACTGCTGACCATGAGGATCGCAGCCCAACACCCAACCACTACACCACCAGAGGTCCTCCTTGTAAAGTCTGAAGGGGTCAGATGCGACCTCCACCACACTCTCACAGGGACATACATGCATCCTCTGGGCCCAGGTTCCCGGCCAGGGCCAAATGAGTCACCAGCCATGCTGATTACAGGAAATGTCAACCAATTTGAACAAATCCGTTGGTGTGGTAATAGGTGAAGGGGCCAATTGTACGGTTGAGAGATATAAATATATTAAAGTCAATGAAAGCATGAGTGATAGAAGAGTTTTACAATAATGCAGTCAGACACATTCCATGGTAGCATTGCTCACCTTAGCCCCGCTTGGTGGTCCACGTGGAGAGAGGGGGAAGGGAAGGAGGGCAAAGGGAACAAGGCAGTGAGGATGGGAGAGGAGGGGGAGACAGCCAGTGAGCGGACGAGAGTGGGGAGACTTCTATTGCTAACCCAGGCCTATATACCTTTTGGGGGCGTGCAAGCCCACTAATCCCAGGTAAAGTCATCCTTCACAGGAAGGGGTTGCACTATAGGTTATACAGCAATGAGAGGGGGTGGTCTAGGGACATACACGCAATTGGAAGAGGAGGGATTGGGGGTATACATGTGACAAGATGGGTGGATCCTAGATACAGGACTGCAGCCTAACTTTGGATGTCACAGAGCCAGTTTGACCTGTTTCCTGTCTCAACTGATAGAGAGTAGGATGGGAGCTCCACCTACAGGAACCAAGCTAATGGTTGCAAGCTTCATGGAGAAGTAATCCATTGTGTCCAGCAGCAGGGAGCAGGCCCAATCCCCTGTGGTGGGGCGAGACAGCAGTCTGTCAGTGATGGTCTTCAGGGAGCATCTGCCCTCCCCCCACAAGTCCCCCTTTTGTTTTATATACAAAATTCAAAGGCCACATGGGTAACATGGTTATTTTCTATACATTAAAAGCTGTCAAGACAAAACTTCATGATCCAATTAATATAGCCAAAAATTCAGGCTTATAGCAAACATTTTGAATTCAGGCATGGGAAATAAAGTTCCCCTATGTTCATCTGCTATTGGAGGAAAGTATGAGAGAGATTGGATACTGCAGCGGGAAGAAATAGGGCCAAATAGGAATGTCTGCTTCTATACGTAGAATGCATTAGCCATGTGCTCACTTTAAGGTAGCACAGCTTTAAGGGAGAAACTGTGGAATGACAGACTACAGCAGGAAAATGTACTTGGACTATTATCTCCAACTACCAGAGTGGCGGCCTTCCTGCCTTGGAAACTGGTCTCCAGATTCCCTGCGTACCACTCAGGGAATAAGTCCCAGCTTTATATCCCTCAGTGCCAGTATCCCACATTTCCCCTCTCTGCATGACGTTTAAGATTTAACGGTGTCACGGAGGCAACATGGTCTCTCTTCATGTCTCTTAGCTTCCTAGAGAAGCGACACGAGACAGCGAGCATCAAAATCATGATGGAAAGTAACACAGTCAGACTGGAACTTAAGCTATGTGAGATACTTTGAGCCCAAGCTCCAGGATCCAACCCTTCCATGCCATTCACCAACTGCTTAATTATATCAGAGTCAGGCCATGTCTCAAGTCTGTCTTTGAATGTATAGAAAATATCCTTCTTAAGCTGATCACCATCTAATGAAATGTTTCTTAATCAAATTCCAATCATGCAATGTTATGCTATATAGGTAAGGAGTTATACAGAAAACAGTTACGTTCCAATCACATTATAGCATTGACAAGCCCAAAATCTTGATCTTTCAGCAAAGCAACAGTTTGTAGTAATAGTCCATCAGTCACTATTGTATAAAATGTGCAGCTTTGATAGAGTCCCAGAGGGTCCCTTAGACAGCGCCAGCAATGGAAGAAATAGCTCAGCAGTCAGCAGTCGCCATTCTCAGAAATCTGCGAGGTCTTCCTGATGTTTTGCATAACTTCAGTAAGCAGAACAGGGCCAGGTCATGCATCAGCTTCCCTATTTTCTTCTGGGCCTTGCTGGCTGAAGAGAAATCCACCTATCTCCTTTGCCTGTGAAAATATAAACAAATAGCCCCTCTCTTCGGGGTGTCATTAACCTGAAAAAGAATTATGATTAAGCTTTTGTGGTACCTTCATGTCCATCTTTCTCTGAACGTGGTTGTGTCCTTCTAAAGGGAGTCCATCAGCTTTATTCTGCAAAAATATAAATGCGTAGCCCTTTCTCCAGGTGAATGGACCCGGATCCCAAACGCGATTTCCATCTTCTTGGGACTTCTTAGAATCAGCTTTGTCTGTAGAAGTGAAAATGTGTTTATCGGCCCTAATTTTGTTACAAGCTTTTAGTAAGGAGAAAATTTTTTTGGTTAAATTGACCAAATGAAATTCATCATACATAAGATTCCTCTTCTCCCCCTTCTGTTTTCACCATGCTGCCTTTAAAGCATTGCTGGCAATCTCAGTTACCTTGCTTGGTCTTGAACCAGTAAAACTACGAGTTATATAGCCTTCATTGTTATGTAAATACTGGCTCCCAGCCCTCAGAGAATTAAGAGAGCTAACTAATTGGGAGAACTTCTTACCATACTTTGAAAGACTGAAAAAATTCTTAATAAATTTGTTCAGCTGTTCTTGAAGTAACTTACCAAACAGACATTTTTTTCTCCAAGTTTACCACTAAGGTTACAGGCTCAATTAAGCCTCTTTGCCCTTCAGGCTTCTCACACTGTATGATTTTACAATCTTGCAATCGGTCTCTCCTGGTTAACTTCACTCATTCCCTCCATGCTGGCTTTGGGAGAAGTTAATGGGAGGGTCTTAGGCCCTCCTGAATGCCCTAAGGCAATGACCCCACATCCAGAGCTTAAAAAC